GTGTTTGATATTATGTTCAAATTTTTGTAATAAATGGATAATATCGTTGGATTCGTTTTGCTTTATCCAATCCTCGGAGATTGTTATGATACCTTCTCGACTGATCGAAAGATTCTTTCCAAAGTCATACTGAACACTATCTTCTTGACTATCTTCAGGTTGAATAGGTGGAGGTGGTGGTAAATGCTGATTATTTTGTTGTGAACCGTTTTTCGAATCTATTGGTTCGGTGTTTGAACCATTAGTTTGACTCTGTTTAGAAATAGCCTTTTCTCTATTATCCTCTGTGATATCTTCAATAATAGGACTACTTGCTTTGTCATTTGGATTTACTTTTGTTGTAGAATAGTATTTTACAGTTTTTTCAATAACTCGTACGTTACCACTTTTCTTTACGGTTGTTGTGGTTAACATTTCAGTTCCATTGCTGATGACGGTTCTCTTAGTTGTTTTTGGACTTCGTGAGTTGTTGCGAAGTTTAGATCTGTCTGATGAGTTGGAGGTGCTACAAAAATTGAATACACAATCAACATGATTCTGATATGCAAGTTCTTTGCAGTAATCAGTAAAAAGTCTATCCAATTCTCTATCAAGAATAGATTTGTTTCTACCACAAACAGTGCACGAACACACTCTTTGATATTGTTCCTTTGTCTTTTTTAGCAATGAACAGGCATCAACATGAAGAAGTTTTTTCCTTGTGCCAAAGTTTAATGTTCTCCAAAAATCATTTAGAGTAGTGATTTGTGATTCAAGAGTTGTTGATCGTTTGACAGTCTGTGGTTGCGGAGCAGAAGATTTTTCGCTCTTGGACTGACTTTTAGATGTACTCTTTTTCTTACTATTAGAACTCTGTGATGATGAAAATAATGATGATGTAAAATATTTATAAATTTTGTTGTTGTTGTTAGTTAGAGAGAAAAGGAGGCATTATAATAATGAGTAACTGCATGGTACGGAATTCTCTTACCTTTTTAGAGGGCATTTTTTTGTTTTGATCGACGATGAAAAAAATACCTCAACAAGACCATCCTCCGGATACGGAAGGGAGTAATTTGCTTGCTGACAGGATTTTTGTGTTAGAGAGAGCAATTGAAACCTACCAAAAGGAAAACAATAATCTCCGTGACTATCTTCAACAACTTGTAAATATATGTAATGGTCACCCGTTATTGAATAATAATAATAATAATCCCATCAAACCTGTAAATAATAATCTGATCAATACCCAACCATCAGAAAATGAAAATCTATTTATTACTAGAAATCCAGTAAATGTTAGAAATCTACCAACTAGTAGAAATTTAATTAATGGTGGAAATTTCTTGACTGAGACAGTTCAAATATGCGATAGTAATCCTAAAAATAGAACTGTCAGTTATGCTGATATTACAAGATTAGCTCCTATTAAAGCTCAGCCATCTATTAAGAAAACAATAGCAAAACAAAAATCAACAACTAATAAGATGAATGGCTTGCGTGCTTATATAAACCATTTACGTTATAGCACGCTAGCCTTAAACTTGTTGTGGTTCTACTCAAGGTAGAGTAGATGGATTAGATGATGAACTTAATTCATCATCTAACATATTATTATTACTATTATTAGAATCCTCTAACATCTTATTATTAGGATTATTTAACATTTTGTTATCATTATTAGGTCTAATAATATTTGCTTGTTTAAGTATTTCAACTATATTATTAATATTGTTATTAGTGAGCATGAGCTGTTGAGTTAAATCTATAATACTTTTTTCAATTTTATCAATTCTATTATTTGCATTTGTGATATTATTATTATTATTATTATTATATAT